TGTTACGTCATTGAGTTTCTCTTATTCCAGCTGCTGCATTATCTATGTAACATTTTATTCAACTATGGTTTGGAGGAATCAAACTCTGCTTGTCAGGCTTGTGCGACAAATGCTTTAAACCACTGAGTCATCCTGTGGCCCTCCACATTATGCTTTGAGATGGGTACTCTTCAGTGAACCCGAAGCTGACCATTTTGGCAAGACTGACTGGCCAGTGAGCTCCAGGGATCTTCCTGTCTCTGCCCTTCCCGGTGCTGGCTTGTATGCTGGTGCTGGGCACCTGACTTAGGTCCCTTTGTTTGTTCAGTGCGTACTTTGCCAGCTGAGTCATCTCTACTGCCACAATAAAGAAAAGTTACCATTTTTTATTTATATTGCCACGCTACCAGATAAGCCTGCCATTTATAAAGAGCACAGACAGGAGACTGGATGCCCAAGAAGGGATGTACTGGTCCCCAGAAGACGGAAAAGGCCACTCCCTTGACAGTGGGCTGGTAGGGAGGGTGCATTGTAGTCTCCATTTCTTAGTGTTTGTTAATTTTAAGTCACTGTTAAAAAGACTTATTTTATATGTGTGTTTCTGTGTGTGGGCATGAATGCAGGTGCCCACAGGGATCTGAAGAGGGCACTGGATCCCCTGAACTGGAGTTACAGGTGATTGACAGCTGCGGGGAACCAAACTCAGGTCTTATGCAAGAGCAGCAAGCACTCAGAACTCATGAGTCATCTGTCCCGCCCCTAAATCATGTTTTTTAAACTCTTAGGTAAATGCAGAAGAATGAGGACAACCCAAGGAGTTCTGAGCACAGAAAAAGATAGAATGTAAACCCATTATAGGAAATAAAAAGTCCCTTCAGTTTAACCTACACTAAATCTAAGAACTAGGCCAGAATTTGGGGACATCTAGTATGGAGACATTCACATATGCTTCCAAACCAGCCATTTCACTATGGTGTCTAGAGCTAGTTTCGTTACTCAGTTACAGCGAGTCCTCGTCACTTTAAGGAAAGACAGGATAAAGTAAAACAAGGAATAATGAAAATAAAAAAGAGAAAGAATTTGGTCCCCAAGTAACATTTTCCCCGAATTGCTGAAATTATTGACCATTTAAAAAAATAAATATAATTTTCTAGCCCTCAAGGTGAAACTTTCACTTCCGAGCTTGGCGATAGATGGGTCTTTGGTGCCGTGCGAGTGACTGCGAGAGCAGCGGGCAGCTAAGAGTTTCGGACACACTCCAGCGCCTTGCCCCGCTGCTCCCACACCGCTCCTCCCGCAGTTAGATGTTGCTGCCTCTTTAACTAGCCTCGTTTCGCATTATTAGTTTTTATGCAGTTGAAAAAAATAGCCATCTAAGAAGCTGTATTGCACTGCCTCAGGATAAAGTCTGACATACTAGAAGAATTTAAGGTTTAAGCCAGATCTGAATCTAAATCCTTGTTCCTTTTGGTTAAATAGAGCGCCTTCAGGAATATATTGAATTTGCATGAGTCTCTTTTAGTGTTAATTAATGTGTACTCATGGATACGAAGGTTGCACATGTGTGCACATGCATGTGGAGGCCAGAGGTCAACATCCAGCATCGTTCTTTAGGATCATCACCCACCTCCCGAGACAGGGTTTCTCAGGGACTCAGTCTCCAAGGAGACTAGATTGTCTGGACATCCAGCCACAAAGCTGGGTCTTTTAATGTGTATTTTAGAGCTTGGGCTCAGGTCATCATGCCTGCAAGGCAAACGTTTTAGACTGAGATAGCTCCCTAACCTTCCTTTCACATTTGAACACTGGAGAGACTAGTATTTGGTTTTGGTTGGTATGGAGATTGAATGAGATGATTCATGCCGTAAAGTCAACATTGAGAGGCAGGCCTATTTCACAAGTGTTATCTCATTTCTCTAAACGGTTTTGCCACTCACTGGATTCTTGTGAACTTTATAATAGTTGTACCGCTCAGAACATACCACTCTTCTTGCCTCTTTTCTGTCCCCAAGAGTATACCCAGAGGCTGTTCGTTACTCAAGAGCTGTGATGGTTAGAGTCATAGATTCTGCAGCCTAGATGGAACCCAAAGGCAGCCTTGAAAGCTTGGACCTTTCAGGTGAACTAAAACCCCTCTCATTATGTATATCATGGACCCCATCACACAATCTGTGTTGAGGGGTTAGGAACAAAAGTAGGGGTGTGGGGGTGATGTAATAAACAGAAGTAAGCAAGCACACAGAGGGATGGTTCCCCACTGTCTGTGGATATGACCCCAGCCTTATTAATACCAGCTCAGCCCTCAGGCTGGAGATGAAGTAATCACTCCTTGGCCAAGGGCTCAATGCTCTTTATAGTGAAATAATACCAAGTCTTTTTTTTTTTTTTTTCGAGATAGGGTTTCTCTGTAGCTTTGGAGCCTGTCCTAGAACTAGCTCTTGTAGACCAGGCTGGCCTCAGACTCAAAGAGAGCTGCCTACTTCTGCTTACCGAGTGCTGGGGTTAAAGGCATGTGCCACCACTGCCCGGCTAAGATAAAGTCTTAATACAAACAGTTGTTAAACATTCCTGAGTGGTGCCCCTTCCTGTGAGGTAGCCTTGCTGAGACTGGCCAACATTTGAATACGAGTTCTCCTTAGCTGCACACTTAGAACCCTGGGATGTAGCAATGGTCAATAACTCCTGTGCCTTTGAACACAGAATGACGCTGGTCTCTCTGTGTATCTCAGGCTGCTCTGTAATTCGTTATGTATCAAGGTTGTCCTTGATCCCATGGTCCTCCCTCAGCTTCCCGAATACTCAAATTACAGGCATGTGTCAATATACTCAGCTTCAGGAGTCCCAGTGCCATGAACTCTCCTCACTGCTAAGAGAAAGAGGAGTCTCAGTTAAGGACCCCAGGAGCTTAGAGAGCATCTAAACTGTCTGGGGTTTTAATGTGTGAAGGACTGAGTTGTGACACACAGAAGAGAACTCCTTTTCCACCTTCTCTGTTTTAGCTTTTTGCATCTGTGATCTTATTTAACATAACCTTTAAGTGGTCAATATTGTAGAATAAATGAATAAAAGGCTTCCAGGCTGCATCTCCTCTTAAGAATTTCCTCAACATAGTTCTGCACTTGGCGTGGATTATTTCATGTCACCCCCACCACAGCTCACACAAGGCCCCTTTTCACACCCGATCTTATAATGTGGAGCAATTTAAAAACTCTGGGAATAAGTCATAGGCCCAACTGCAACATACAGATACACAGACATTCACAGAGTACACACACAGATATACACACAGACAGTCAGTCAGTCAGACAGACAAATACATACATATACAAAGGCACATAGACACACACAGATAGACACACACAGACACTCAGACAACTGCTTTGTCTTACTGTTTTTTCCTGAGTCTTGAACTGTATTACTTTTCTCATTGCTGTGACCAAGTTACTTGACAGAAGCAACTTAAGAGAAAAAGAGCTTACACTGGCTTACAGTTTGAGGAGATACAGTCCATCACAGAGGAGCCTATGGAAGCTGGTTGTATTGGACAGTCAGGAGGCATTGCAGAGAGGAAGTGGGGCTATAAAGCTCGAGGCTTGTACCCAGTGACCTACTTCCCTCATATGGCTCTACTGCCTAAGAGTGCACAGCCTTTCCAAACAGTGCCACTGGCTGGGGACTAATCTAAAAACCCAATAGCCTGTGGAAGGCATTTCACATTCACACCACAGCACAAGCTAAAAGAAAACCAGCCAAGCCGGCGAATGCTCGCCTCCATCTCCTGTAGCAGAGCCCGGGTCTGTTCATGCACAGGGAGTTCCACTGTTGCTCAGTGTGTCTTCCTGATTTTGCCACAAGTTGTTCCTCCAGAGAGGTCTCCTGATGCTCAAGGGGCAGCCACTTAAAGACCGAGAGTTTTTCCACTAAGTTCTCACCGTAGGGCTAACAGGACAGGATTAAAACCCACATGCTTCTTCCTCCTGCTCAGGTTGTCTCCCAGAAGCCTGGAAGCTTCCAGTTACTACAGAAGTCCAGTGGTCCCAGGGGATAAATTCCACCATTACAGGGCCTTGGAGACTTCTCCCTGCCCCTTCCGATGGCACACAAAATTTCACACCTTTCAGTGTTTTCATGGCTGTGTGACCTGTAACCTTTGCAACTAACTGTTGCTAGGCGGGGTGACACGTCTGTCTCCCTAACAGCACCTAGGCTCTACCAGAAGTAGCAAGTGTAGTTTGTTCTTCTGCCAGGCCCTGCAACAGAAAGTGTCCTAGGTTCTGCAGCACACTCAGGTGACCTGGGGGCTGACTGACCCTTCCAGTTTTTCTTTAGTTTGTGGTGTGTGTATGTATGTGTGTGTGCATGCATGTGCACACACGTGTACACGTGTGTGTATATTTGTGTGTTACAGTGACAGGATGAACAGTGAGATATCAGAGAACAACCTGAGTGTCAGTCCTTGCTTTTCACCTTATTTGAGACAAGGTCTTTTATTTGTCATTGCATAAATACATCAGGCTAATTGACCAGTGAGCTTCTAGGGATTCGGTTGTCTCTAGCTCCCATCACCCCAAAAGACTGCTGGAATTACAGATGGGCACTACCATGTTCATTTTTTTCCTACATGGATTCTGGGCATCCGAACTTAGGTTCTCACACACCAGGGGCACCTAAGGTGCTGGCGACTTCTTGAGCCTCATTGCATTAGCAGGGTCTTTGTGTGAGCTACTTTAACTACTGCGGTGAAAACAAGATACTGACATGTGATGTGCTAGGTCCCACATGAACCCACGCTAAAATGTTGCCTATTATCAGGTATGTTATGATCACATACACACACACAAACACACACACACGTCCATATTAAGTTTCTCCATTGTTGTCAATCTACTCATTATATCTAAAATTGCCATTGCCAAGATGAATGCAGTCAGACAAGGGTTGCAACCATGGGGCCTATGTTCAGTAGCTTGAAGACAAGGAGGAGGAGGTTGCAGGTCTCTGTCTTGAGACTGCTCTCTTACCACTAAGAAGAGGCTTGTTTTGCCGGTATGAGGCAGGCAGCTGGCCGATGCCCTCCATCCTGTGGCTCATGACCCGAGCAAGGTGGCCTGTGTGGTGCAGGCTTCCAACGATGACGCTGTGGAGGTACACAGGCTCGATGAAGTGGCAGAGGAGAGCACCTTGCAGTCCCAGCACGTTCCAGCTAGAAGGAAAAGCAAGGGTGAAGTCAGTGGGATTCCTGTGTCTGCTGGGGATGCAGAGCTGGCCGCTCATGGGCCATTCAGGGAGCTGGGTCTGTGAGTGATGTTGCTGTCGCTCTGTCCTTCAGCTGCCTGCTCCTTTCTGTGTCCCCTTTTCCAACCTGGGGAACGGTGGCCTGGGAACTCCTCAGAAGCAAGTTATCAGGGTGGCCTCTGATGATTCTGCTAGACTCTAAGGATCTAGTCCTGACTCTGATAGTGTCTCTGCATGTTCAGTAAACTCAACTTCCTGTTTTACGAGTTGTTAGAGAGACAGGAAGTGCCATTCTCTCAGTGACTTCAAATTAGATTGTTTAAAAGAAGATGCTTGGTTACCAAAGGTAATCGGAAGTTTTTTCTTACATGCTATCTGGGAAAGGTTCCGAAACTGAATTTGATGATTTCCATTTGGGGAACAGCATTGGCTTCCATCCCCTTTTTCCTACTGGGCTGAAATGAAAGGACATTAGTAAATGACCTTCTTTTGGTCTGGGGATGGTTTTTATTTTTTATTTTTTTTATTTTAAACAGTGTATATCAGAGATGACTGACAATGGCCCTTTCTTTGAAATAAATACAGCTCTGGGTGACTGTTCTTATTTCTTCAAGCAGAGATGCCAGAGTACCGTGAGAAACACTTCTCTTTTATCCCCCGACCTAAATTCAGGGCAGAAAGTTCTGTGTATCTGCTACTTAAAGCAATGCTTGGTGGTTTCCACTCTACTGTGTTTCAAATGAACCACGGTTGGAGGCAGGCGTTCTGTAGCTAATTTCTTACATCATTGTTCTTTTTCATTAATTAACATTTTTCCACTGTTGGAGCCATTATTGTGGGACCTCCATGCTGTACATCTCTTCCGATGATTAATAAGGAGTCATTATATCTCTCTTCCCGAAGCAGTCAATTAACACAGAATTCTTTCCATTAATTACCGAGTGTGTCTCTACCTGGAGAGCAATCTGCTCCAAGAACCAGTGACACCAATTGCTTTCAAAAGTTCTCTTTAAATTTTATTCTGAAAACACAAGCAATTTAGCTGGCGATATTAATCTGCCTCGGAAGCATCATGGTGAATGAGAAACATCTTTTAATCTCATGCAAGAAAAGGCAGCCATCTGGCTGGCAAGGATTTCAGGGAACCACTCTCCCAGTCTCCCTCCGTAAATGCAGGTCATTAAAGTAATGTGTTCATCTACATAAAACTCAAATGGAATATAAAAGGTAATATTTATATACAAACAATTTAGTCCTACGATTTAAACAGTCGTTGGTTTTATGAAACATTTACTTTAGACTATCAGATTTGCATAACTTCATTTAAAAATATTGTGGTCATTTTCTAGAAGTCACACTAGTCCTCTCAGCAAAGAAAGGGCTGTCCTTGGATACATGTGCTTTATGCCAGTGTAAATATCAGAATGGACGGAGACAAAGGGCATGTCTGGAAGAAGGACATGCCCTCATCCCTGATGTCTTTTGGCTGTAATGGTTCTGCTTCATTCTGAATTTTCACTACAAATGACACACCTGCTGTGGTTCCTCTGATGCCCTCACTTTACACTGGCGAGTTAGGGATTGTCTACAGAGCTCAAGGGAGGAGTCCTGTGATATCTGAGCTCTGCCTGGGAGGACGAAGAGTGTTAGTGGTTTTGAGTTGTGTTTGAGGAATTTGGCTTATCCCCTTATGTCTTTGTTTTTGGACATCTATTTATTTATTTATTTTTATTATTTTTTTCACACAATATATTCTGATCATATTTTTCCCCTCTCTCAACTCCTCCCAGATCTTCTCCATCTCTTTCTCCACCCAAACTCATGCTTCTCTCTCTCAAATATAAGACAACCAAACCAAAGAACTTAACTCAAAACAAACAAACAAACAAGATAAGGAAGTGAGAAGCTAAGAAGAGAGATAACGAGATGGATCAAGGGGTAAAGATGTCAGCTGCCAAGTCTGAGGGCCTGGGTTTAATCTCTAGAACCCAACGGTTGGAAGGAAAGTTGTCCTCTGACCTCCACATGTGCAGTATGGCATGCGCTGGACCCCTCGCCCAATTAAATAAGAAAAATGTAGTAAATATTTTTTAAACATGAATGCCAAGAACAGTTGCACACTTTTGTAGCTTAGCCCCAGTGCTTGAGAAATGCAGGGAGAAGTGTGAGTTGGAGATCAGCCTAGGCAAGACTCTGCTTGATACAAACAAATAGCACCCCCATAAATAAACAAATAATAAATACACACATGAATAAATAAATACTGAGGAAGAATAAAATAGAATTGCTACCATGTAGTGTTTTAGATATATTCTTTTTGGATTTGGAGATGATGGGCAAGCACGCCAAGGAAAGGTTTATAACAAAGGATGCTCAGAAAGTCTGTCAAGAGGCCACTATCTGAGTAAAGGGCTTTGGGTGACAGATGCAGAAGAGGCGCTTACAACCCCTAGACTGTCGGTAAAATTTAGAAATTTCTTATCAATTAAAAGCAGAATAATATATAAATCTCCCTTGATCACAAGGCATCTTCTTCAAATAAACTAAGCCCCAGAAAATAAAATGAGAATTCCCATGAAGGGATATAATAATTCTTGAGACCATTAAAGTATCGGCTTTGAACAAAACTTGTGGAGCACTTTTGAGTGTTTTGATTCTACTGGATTGTCCAAAGACAAATAACTTCTATATCTGATTCCCCCCTAATAACCTTTACAATAAAAAGAAAAACCAACCTCCTCTTTGCCTGGCTATAGGAGTTTAAACAAATTCAGCTAGCACGATCAATAAAACCAAATGTCTCCCTGAATATGAACTGGAGAATCCTCAGCATTCAGGATTGAATGGAAAAATACCTTTCCTTTTGTTCAAATAGCTGATATGCCTGTAATGTTGACAGAGACAGAAATCCTATGCCTAGCTTTCAATATAGATAATCCCTAGATAAATATATCTTTGTCTGTTTGTCAATCACAGAAATACCACAGAGAAGTGGAGGAGAGATTTTAGAAAAGGTTGCCTTTCTTCAGCCAAGGGATGTCATCTCGTTGCTGAATTTGAACTGTGACCTCTACTTTAGGGAGAAAATGATGAGACTCAGTGTGCATGAGGCCCTCCCCACGGGTGTGTGCCTTGAAGTTCAGACAGAGAACATCCATTGGTAATGTATATTTTGGACATTTTCTCTTTCTTCCTGTTATTTATAGCATCTTGATGTGGTCCTGGAAAAAGATACCACTCTTTAGAATTATAAATGTGCAGCATGTGAGATAGTTCCATAGACACACACTTCTTCTTTCTTCTGTACCGTCTGTTTTCTGAACAAAACATCACATCAATTGCAAAAGTTTCCCATGTTCTGTCTGAAGCCCGTGAAAGTCACCCTGAGGGAAGCAACTGTCACAGTCTGCGGGTGATACTCAGGGACTACGGTGGAACCATGGTCTTCAAGTGAGCCTGTATACTGGACCAACTAGAATCTTTAAGAACATTCTATACCTTGGTTCTTGTTCTAGTATCTATTTCTGTGATAAACACCACAACCAAAAACACCTTGGGGAGGAGAGCATTTATTTCACCTTACAACTCCAAGTCACACTGTACATCTCTGAGGGAACCTGGGGTAGGAACTCCAGGCAGGAATTCAAACTCCTGTCTGGAGATGGGAGCTGAAGCTGAGAATGCAGAGGAATGGTGCTTACTGGTCCGCTCCTCATGGCTGGCTCACTTACTTTTCTTACCGCATCCAGGACCACCTGTCCAGGGATGGTACTGCCCAGGGTAGAATGGGCACTCTCATATCAATTGTTAATCAAGAAAATGCCCCACAAACATGCCTCTAGATCAGTCTGATTGATGGTAATCCCTTAATTGAGATCCCTTCTTCCTAGGTGATTCTAGTTTGTTAAGTTGTCATAAACTAACCAGTACAGTCCCCAAACACAGACTTATCTGATTGGTTGTGAGTCTGGACAATCCTGGGCATCATCAATATTCCAACGTCATTCAATGCTAAAACTTTAGCTTCTGAGTAGTTAATGAAAATTTGGAATATAAAAGATCAGAGGAACTACAAATCCAGGTTCTGGTCATTTGGGCCATCCTGAACCACTTCTTCCTGTGTTGAGCAATAGTTCACTCAAAGATCCTCTAGGTGTGGTACCTGAGTGATACAGGGCTGGGCACTTGGATGAAGCACATACTCTCAGTCCCCATCCTAGACCTGCCAAATCAGAACCTCTGTAGTGGATTCAAGCAGCTGTGTTTTAAACAAGTCTTCCAGGTGATTCCAATGCTGTTAGAGTTTGATATCTGTCCATCTGCACTGGAATATGGTCCCACTAGTGCATTCTACTTCCCAAGCCATTGAAAGACTACAGGAACTCCATCTTGGGGTTATACTTGTTTCTAGTACGTATTTCCCTAGTGTCACACCACTTTCCCTCCACCTTCATGAAGACAACTAATAATGCAAAGCCAGGGTCACTTGGCTGGTCCATTCCCAGTTGACTAAGCACTTTCCCCTGGTTTTTATAGGTAAAGGAGAAGAATGATAACCATTTGAATCAATAACAGGACTTCTAGGAGCTCATCCCATGGCTATACTCAAGTACCAGGGTATATGTATCAGGATGGTCTTTACAGAATTGTCATAAATGCTAAGCAAACTAAAGAAGACTGGAAATAATTAAGCTTCCTTTTACTATAGAACCGATTTAATAGACTGCAGTATATTCACAGAAAGAAAAGACATGATAGTCACACTGCTTTCCTTATTGCTTGTGGTACATACCACTTGTCCCTGTAAAGGGCTCCTCTTGAGTACCTCACCTGCCCTCTTGGTTTCCTCTGTATACTTTCTCTCATGTGGCTACATCATATCCGACTGGCAGCCTGCATAATGCCTCTTCCCTGACATTTATTAGGACATCTAGGACTGGTTTAGATTATGCCTGCTTGCTCACTTTC